TTCAGTCGCGCTGTATAATACGGATCCTGTCGATCGACATGCATCGAAAGTCTCCTTGTTTTCAGATGAGACGTTCTAAAGCTTATTCTCAATTTTTGTTTCTGCGCGATTTCTGTTTGCTTGCATTCACTTTTTTTTGTTTTTCTCCTTGGCCCCAATCGACATTTAATTCACCTTTTGACCATCCTCATTTCACATTAACAGAGTTTTATCAACGGTGGCAACGAGGTTCCACTTGCAAGAGACCCCCGATAACCGTTACTCGTACCCATCTTGATGGCATACGAGAGTGAGAGCGATATCGATGACAACCATGTCGAATACGCTATTAACGGTGACGAGTATCCTGTAAAGTAAAAATATTGGGATATTTTAACATACACATGATCTACGCAGCCTAGAGATTACGAAATACTCGAGTATATACTATCAAATAACGTTAAATTTGCGAATTTATACTAACCCTGAGTCCAGCCCCGAGAAAATCGTTCGGGGTGCTAGTTAACTTCGAGATCACTATCAGCTTGGTCGTCTTGATCACTTTCCTCCTCTTCATCTTCTTCCTCGGAATAATACTGCGAGGGTGGCGACAGGACATCCTCGGAAAGTGAAGTGTGAGAAGATGAAGGAGGTCGAGAACCTTCCAGTTTTGTGTCCAGGTCTTCCATTGAAGTACTTGGTCCAGGAATGGTCACTGGGATAAATTTCTCCAAATCACCACTTGCCAATTCTAAAAAGATATACAACATTATAGAACGAATCGAAAGTTAAGCTGAAAAATTTCGATTTCATATAAAACGTACGTTCAACATATTTTTCAAGTGATTTTGGAACCATCAACTTAGCCTTTCGCAAATTTTCCTCAGTGCATTCTCCTTTCTCTAGACCTAAAATATTCATTAATTATATTACTTAATGCTGTTTTAACATTTTCAACGACAGTACAATCTCTTAAATATTATTTTAGTTTACAATAACAAAAAAAAAAATAGTTTCTTTACCAAAAGCTAGACCCATTTGTTTTAGAACTTCAATATCATCGTGAATTTCGAACTTATCGTTAAAATTGAACAGGTACTCGGTTCTGCAATACACACGATTGATTACTAACAAAATGAAAGAGAAAAGAGAATGTTTACAACGGTAAAAGTATGCAGGTCTGAAAAACCGTACTTGTCATTCGAAATGCTGCAATCTATGACAGTCTTTTTGCTGGTATTCACAATCAGGAATGGCAGCTGTATAGCAGAATTTGGTTTCGGTGGGCCACGCAGACTTTCATTGACACGATTACGCTCCACCAAATTTTTGAAAGAGATATGTGAAAGAATTAATTGATGCAACTGTTGTGTTTTTGCTTTAATCCTCTCAATTTTTTTCTTTTTGTCTTTTTCTAGTGCCAGACATTCCTGAAGTGAATTAGTTGGTAGGCCTAGCCACCTGATTTCCTTTTTTTCTTTTGAGATAATATTCATTGCCATTAAAACATTCAGAGCATCATACACACGTCTTCTAATATTTTTCTGGTCATATTGCTGCAAAATAAGGACAACATGTTTCATTCATTCTTAAATGTTTCTTGTTTAAAACGAACAAACGAAAGCAATATACCTGATCTGTTAAGGAGTTTATGTGAGCAGGATTAGTGAACTCCCCAACGAGTTCGTCCGCAACCTCGTTGTATGACGTCGTTCCTTTCTTTTTCACTTTTTCACAAACTTTCATTGAAAAATGACGCAATCCTTTGCCTACTTTCTCTGTTTTTCTTCGTTTACTACAAATAAATTAAACATATTAATTGTGATGTTAAATTGTACAGCATGTGATACATAACATTGTAAGCAATGCATTATTACTCTGGTACAAAATCGCCACCGTCAACATCTTGTCTTTTCCTAGAGCCACTGTGATCCAATATTGGACTGATATATGTTTTTCCACTTGCATCTTTTACAATTTGTTGATTACCGGATTGTTGTTGTTGCTGCTGCTGGGACACTATTGCCTGTTTTATATCACTCTGGATTAAAAGAAAAGAAAAAAAAATAATCAACACATTTATTCATAAATTAACTTTCCCTTCATAAATCAATGAAAAATTGATTTACTAATATAAACTCTTTAATTTTCTCATGAAATATTAAGATAAAACTGTCATTAAGAAAATATACCATTTGCGCAGATGTCAACTGTATAGTCTTGGTCAGCACTGGTTCACCAGCCTTGGCTGTTGTCAGTTTTGTATTTGGCAATGGTATTGTAACCAATCCTACAATAATAAAAAAAAAAATTATTTTATAAAATCTTCTAACTTTGATATGCATTTAATTGATATATCACATTTTGATATGCATATAGTTACTATTTTAGGAATTGCTACATGTTAATTAACATCTCCAACACTAGATGGTTAGGATAAAATATGATATTTATTTAGAATAATCACTCACTTTGGCCAGGAGTTGAAGGACTTTGAAGACTAATAGTTCTAAGAACTTGTGCGTTCGATGACAAAACCTAAAATAGATAAATTGACAATTAAATTTATTTAAAGAAGATAATAAACAGAAGTATTTCAATATAAATTTTCATAATTGTCATTACCAAATATAATCAATTCATAAATTAAACTCCAAAAGTTATCAAAATATTATACCTGAGATTCTTGGCTCGGAGTCTTAAAGACCTTAAGGCCACCTGCATTTGTTGTACTGACAATACCACCCAAGGCCTTATTGGCTGTACTCTGCACTACTTTTATCACTTGTGGATGACCTAAAATAATTAAAACTTTCGCTTTCATAATTCATAAATATGAGGAAACAAACAAATGGTTGTATAAAGAAAAAGAAAACAAAAACATATTCAGTGCTTTCTGGATATGTAAACCATTTCAAAAGAAAAATAAAACTATGATTAGTGAAATGAAACCTGTTAAAAAATGATTCATAGATACAATACCAGATGAAAATTTAATGGGTTATAATGTTATCATTACCTCAAACAACTTAAAGCTATAAGACACATGTTTTTATATAATACCAATGAAGATAAATATCTGACATTAATGTATTAAACAAATGCTCTTTCTAATTTATTATAGTGTCTATTACTGATACATTAAAGAAAAATAGTGTCTGTGTATTTGAATAAGAGTACTGGGAAGTAAAAGTGACCTCTTCGATTCAACAATCAAATAAAGTAAGTACACACATTTTTAAAGCAAAATAGGATAAAAGAATTAAAGGACTAGATAAATGTAGTCATCCAAGTATGAAATTAAAGTGGAAAACGTAACTTATTGAAGGCAATTCAGAAATATTATGAGGATGCGCGGCATATGACCAATATGAATATGAGGAAAGAAAAGACATTATAGAGGTTTGTAATTAACAAGAATTGTCAAGAATATGATAGAAATGTGTGCACGGATCCAGAAGGAACGTGACAATACAGGGAATAAACGGTCTTTGCAGAAATGAAAGGGATTCGAGACATTATCATCGAAGTGTAGCATGCTGATAATTGGCGCGCACTCGGCATACTCACCGTTCGCGTCATGTATGAGAAAGTTCATCGTTTTGTTTTGTTGCGTCATCCTCGAGGTTAGAATTCTGTCCCGGCGTCACCGACGATCACGACGATCGACCGAATGCCGAGTGAAAATAAAAAGATCATAGGTACACTCGCTAATCTTGGCTCGGTCTATCACCAAAATGGCGACTATGATATAGAACCATTTGAGATCAGAATTCGCGAATATACGGTGGAAAAAATGTCTGAATGCACGTACGAGAATAAAAGTCAGCCGTTTCTTTATTGAACTGAACCAAGCATCTTAACAGAACGGTCGTCTGTTCGCGAAAGTAACGCACGAATTTCTGGCTTCCGCGTGCACAGTACGGAATAGAGACGAGCTTGGCGGCACGACAAAGTTAAACAGCTGATTGGTCACTTTCCGAGTCACGTGGCCACTCCTGTTCCACGTTTATGGGCACAGTAATCTTTGCAAGAAAAATTTGACTCTAGATGTACGAATTACTAAATATACTAGAATCGTGCAGGGGGTTCATTTCCCTTACACGAAGAAAGCTCGTCTTTCTCACTATGAAGAGTAATGCCATTTACCATTGAAGTTCTACTATCTACATGTAGTGTATGAACGTAGACAAAATTAGTCACACGTTTAACTTAAGTTCAATACATATGCTGCATTGATAGCAATTATTTATAATATATTCAGTGAATTGAAACATTCTGTTATCAAATCATATTTTTATATTTAAAAATATTGATAGACCCATGTAAAATTTCGCGCGTTTATTTAACATGCATCTGAGGATAATTCCCCGGACAATCAAAGCGACACCTCACGCTGAGGTTGGGCGAAAAAAAATACTACTCGGCCTCATTCTAGTATCTTCAAGGAATAAATCAGGGGTGGCGAACCGAGAATTTGCGAGCTCTCTAGGAACTTTCCCTTTGCGAAGAGTTATTCTCTCCATATTTACTTTTACCTGTTTGTTGAACGCTACATAGAGTTGCTCTATACACAATCTTGGGTAGCTCTCAGAGTAGAGGTAGTGAGAGAATGCTGATCGAGAGTCACTAGCATAAGGGGAGTCAGTTCGACGCCTCTGACATATAAATACTTAGTTACATAGGTACTATGTGGAAGAGAACTGTTATGTCGATAATATCCCCATAGATGTACTGAATATAGAAATAGCCTTAAGGATATTCTTGATGTTTTTAGGCATTCAGAAGAGCAATATAGTGCAAAATAACGTTAGAGGAAAGTTTCTTAAAACTACTAGAATCTAAATATTTTGATAACACATCGTTTTGAAAAAATAATTTATCTCTGTATAAATAGAAAATCGAATAGAAATTGCTTGTTTGAAATAAAAAGTTATACGTTGTAACCAAGTAAATTGAATTGCGATTTTATTTTCAAAGCTTTTCGATTGGCCCAGAGGAAAATTTCTAGACAGTCAAAACCAATAATGTTTTTGCACAGTCGGCGTTAGTCGTAAAAGAATTTTGATAAGAGACGTCACAGAATCGTGCAATTAGTTAAAAGTTTTTAAAGATAAATAATTTATTCGTGGCGTTCTTTAAAAAAAGCTTTATAGCATTGCGTATAATTGGAATCTGGTATCGACAGAGTTGTCATAATCGTATAAATTGTGCTTTTAATACGGTATACTAAATTGAAAAGTAGTTGCCTTATATGTGCGCTTTTAAAAGAATCGAATAGGATACCTCGAACTGAGGTTGAGGGTTCGTTCAGGGTCTGACTGAATGGTAAGATTATTTTAAGGCTCGCGAGGTGATTGAAACACACAGGTTAAACGTTTATTACCATCTTCGACAAACTCGCAGCCTAGCAAGTTACAATTCTTAACATCCTTCAATTTCTTCGACTCTTTCGATTATCATTTTCTATTATTCATCATTCTCGTAAAAACGTATGAATCTCTTATTGTTTTGCTAATTTCATTTTTTCTTCCGCCTGATTCTCTCTATCGTCATTGTGTCGTTCATCGACTCAATACACGACCTCCATTTTTGTTGCAACTATTTCGTTCGGCGTATTTCTTGCAGTATTACTTGGTTCATTCATTTTTAATTTTTTTTATCATTTTGCAATTTGTCGACTGCGACTCTGCGAGAATTGAAATTTTTAGGTTAAAGTTAATGTATCCTTCTTAAAGGACAGAAACCATAAATTAATATGTATAAAATAATGTTTGATAGCGGTAGATTGTAGTCTACAACGAATTTGACATTTACTTGTACAGATATAACCTGAAGGAACCTGTTTAGCATCATTGACCATATACTTAATAGGATGTGAAAAATATGTTTATACTTTTTTAAAAATGTCACAAGGATGTATATGAAATCAAGGATGCCATATTTATGGAATACAAGAAATTTTACCTATGACCTTTTTTAACTCAGAATTTGGAGCAGTGATAGACTAAATCACGTAATTTCTTAATACAAGTTTTATTTAAATAACTTTATTTCATATATTCACTTATATCATTAATAAAAATGTATTTATTTACTTTGTAATATTTAGGACTTGTGCAGTAAACAATAATCAATTATTATCATATAACAAAAATTTAATTTTGTCCAATGCAATTTGTACATAAAATATATTCAATTAAGGCATCTAACATATTCTTTGTTATGTCCACATGCTCCACAAGGTCTGTACATTGTGAAAAACATGCCTCTGTTCGGAAAGTCTCAAAAGAGTCCGGCGGAGGTTGTGAAAGCTCTAAAAGAGGCAGTAAATGCATTGGAGCGTGGTGATAAGAAGGTAGAAAAGGTACGTTTCAAAGTTGGTTTTTGGTTTCTATGACGTAGTATGTTAATTTTTAGGCTCAAGAGGATGTCAGTAAAAATTTGGTACATATAAAAAATATGCTGTATGGAACAGCTGAAACAGAGCCTCAAGCAGATATTGTCGTTGCCCAATTGGCACACGAATTATATAATAGTAATTTGTTGCTTCTACTTGTGCAGAATCTTAGTCGTATAGATTTTGAGGTATGTTAAAATTGATTTGGACAGCACTGCAACAATATATATAAATGTCTCTAGATCATAATCTAGATCTTATATATATATATATATATAAGTATTGTACGAATGTACATATGTACATAATTGGTTTTAGTATTTAAATTGTAATTACTTTTTTGTATTCCATATTTATTATCTGTATTTGACATATTTTCTATTTCATTCTAGAATCTCGTTCAGTCCATAATATAACTGTTTAATTTACAGTTTAAATGTTAAAGAAAAACCAGCGGTTTCATGTGTGATAAAATATTATTTGAGGAAAGGAACTTTTCATTTAAAAAATGATAGATTTTCATTTTTTTAAATAATCAAAAACTCAATAACAAAAATTATTGATACCTGTCTAAGATGGGAAAAATTTTAGAATTAAATAAAATACTAAATAAAATTAATTTGACAACAGTTAATGTGATAGCATATTGAGAATATCTTACATAATGTCTTTTCTAATACTTATTTTTTACAATATAACATTTAATAGGGAAAGAAAGATGTTGCACAAGTGTTTAACAATATATTACGAAGACAAATTGGAACAAGATCTCCAACTGTGGAATATATATGCACTAAACCAGAAATATTATTTACTCTTATGTCTGGGTAAGTGTGAAAATAAAAATAAGATGTTAGTTCTATTTTAAAATAAATTAAGATTAAAAATATTAAATTAATTCTAGATATGAACACCAAGATATCGCCTTAAATTGTGGCACTATGTTGAGAGAATGTGCGAGATATGAAGCTTTGGCTAAAATAATGATCTATTCGGACGACTTTTACAATTTTTTCAGATATGTTGAAGTGTCAACTTTCGACATAGCTTCCGACGCATTTTCTACATTCAAAGTAAGCGATGATAAGCGCATGATATATCGTACTTAAAGTAAAGCAATACTGTTGGTGCATCCGGTACGTTGGTTTTTAGGAATTACTTACCAGGCATAAAATACTGAGCGCTGAATTTTTAGAAATAAATTACGATAAAGTTTTCTCTCATTATCAAAGGTTATTGAATTCGGAAAACTATGTAACGCGACGACAGAGTTTGAAACTGCTAGGGGAACTCTTACTTGATAGACATAATTTTACCGTATGTACAATTTTAATTAGTTCACTTAAAAATATGTACGCGTTTATACATTTAAGAACAGTTCAATATTTATAGTTTTTAAATTTCAGGTAATGACACGATATATTTCGAATCCTGATAATCTGAAGTTAATGATGAATATGCTCAAAGAGAAATCACGTAATATACAGTTTGAAGCGTTTCATGTTTTTAAGGTATATTCGAATATTTATAAAATACTCGTATTTTCTATAATTGGCTTGTTTTAAGACTAATTTTATGAATTCAATGTATTAGGTTTACTGAAATGTTCTCTGAACTTTATAATAATTAGTTTCAGTTGTATTTGAAAACATTAGTTAAGAACATTAAAGAAAACCATTGAAGAACCATCACATAGTATAGGGTTTCCAAAAAGAAACAGAACTTTCTGATGTTTTTAATGCTTGATACTTACTTTACAGAACAGTACATTATTATAGTGTATTTAAGACTGTTAGGTTCCAGAAATAATCAAAATTATCTTCAGATTTACATTTTAATTTGTATTCGTAATTACATAGGTGTTCGTGGCGAATCCAAACAAGCCAAAACCGATTCTAGACATTTTACTGCGCAACCAGGAGAAGCTAATCGAATTCCTAACGCGCTTCCATACTGATCGTTCCGAAGACGAGCAATTTAACGACGAGAAGGCGTACCTAATTAAACAAATTCAAGAACTTCAGTCTGTACATGAGAATTAAGTCGAAAATACAAGTTATTGCTACAGCTACCGTTAACTACTACTATTGAAGTCTATTCAGCTGCTGTTGCCACTGTTACACCATCACAGTCAATGATGTAGCCAACTGTCATTATTTTCTTCCTCTCTTTCTGTCTCTTACTCTCCCTTTCTTTCACTTGTTATAATTATAGTTAGTCGATTCGCAATGATTCGATTATTATTAATTAATTAATTAATTATTATTATTATTGCTATTACTTTTATTTGCGAGTAGTTCTGTAAATAAAGTTTTTCGTTTAATTACGTACTACTGTATATTACATAAAGCTGATTCTAAGCCACATACATACATTTCCTGAATAATTATTCATTATATTGAATAACAAACTATGATTTTATAAGATTACGTTTTTCCTGTAGTGTTATTGTGAACAATACTATCATAATTCCACCACCTTAACAATTATAATTACAGTTCACATTACAAAACTGAAGAAGGTATTTCAAAATTAATTGATATTTAATTATTTGAAGATTGTGGGAATATACGAATTCAATTATAAGAAAAAGCGCTTGATTTGAATGCTATGAACATCACGTGGTCTATCATTACAGCAATATGATGGTGGTCAGATTAGGTTAGTCAATAGTGATCAGTATCGGTAAAAAAAATTCGACATTGGTATCAATGGTTTAACATTATTTACTAATAAAAATAACAGTTTTTTTTTACTGTAAATGTACCAAAATTTGATATTTCAGTGCAATTGGAAAATAAATTGATTTAATATTAAATGGAAATCATAAAAATCGAGAATTCGTATAAAATAAATTCGATGGAGAACGAAATTACATGAAATCGTTCTGATCTGTTATGATAGGTGACATATTTGTTAATAAGGAGTATGGAATAAATAAAAATGTTCGTAAAAGACCCCTGCGGCATTGTATGCATAATAGTGACCTATGTTGCTGTGTTTTATGCAGATTACGTCGTTGTACGTTGGGTTATCTTACACAGTTTACAAGACAGGTATGGATTTATATAATTTATTTATTTATATTTATTTATATTTATATATAATTAAAGTAGTTTCCTTACATGATACCTCATACATATTTATTATACTTACATGACTATGCATTTTTTTTATTTTTTTGCTTTATATTTAACATAATGAAATACATTCAAAGAAACTCACTATCATCTTATTTGTTGTATTTTTAAAATAATTATAGATGATGTTAAGAAAACGTATTTCTGACAGTACGATAATTTTTAATTAATGTATCTTTTTTCTATACTTGTACACAGTTTATGGGGCCCCTTTCATGTAGTGGCTTTCAACACTGTTGTATTGTTATTGATAATGTCACACTTGAAGGCAGTCTGCAGTGATCCTGGTATTGTACCATTACCGCAAAGTCGCATGGATTTTTCTGATATTCATACAGATAACTCAGAGGCAAAAATTGAATGCGATGAAAGAGACAATTGGACTGTGTGTACTAGGTGTGAAACTTATAGACCTCCTAAAGCTCATCATTGTAGAATTTGTAAACGATGCGTTAGAAGAATGGATCATCATTGTCCCTGGTATGCCATAAATGATATAATATTTTAAAATATTAATTATGTTAATAATTATTTTTTATAGATCATCATCTAGCTTATAATTTTTTCTAATTTTTTATATTTTGTGACATTCCTTTGGTTCAATAAAGGAATTTTCTTCATTTTGGAATTTTAATATTTATTATCCATTGAATGTTTACTATTTCTATAAGTTTTAAGAATTAGCAATAATTGGTTTATTCATAGTATGTTTAGCGGACAAGATCATTTTCGCTTAGGTCTAAACAATGCACCTGAAGAACATCATTTTTTATTAGAAAAATAAATTTGTAAATGATTTAAGAACTATTAGGCCAAAAGAGAT